TTTAACATACAATAAATTTACATTTGTTGGTATATTTAATATTATAATAACCAGGCTGTAATAATTTTTAATATAATTATTGCTGAAAATTTTTGGTATTATAACCTATGACTTTATAAAAGAAAATAAATATTTTATTATTGAAATAACAATTCAGTTGGTCAAGAACAATTTGATACAATTTGTAATGCTTATCTAAGGTTTGTACTATAACAATAAATTATATATAAATATATATAAATTTATAATTCATTTATAATTCATTTATAATAAAATAATATTTAATTGTCTTTAATTTGTGAGTGTTAATTAATTAATTAATTAATTAATATAACAAGATTAATTGGTGTTATATAGATTAACAATTAAATGTGTATTAAAATTAAGACAATCTGTTGTGTTATTTTATGTATATTCAGTTAGAGATGAAAATACTTTCCAATTTATTCCCTTTTTAATTCAATTTGGCAAAGAATACACTGAAAACGCCGACAATTATATCAACGTGATTATCGGTAATTTTGCAGAAGATGACACCAAAAGAAAAGTTGAAAAAAGTCGTCCAGAGACATTTGCACAAAAAACGGATGTTACTATTTTGAAATTGGCAATTTCTTCAAAAATGATATTAACAACATAATAATGTCTGCGTTGTTTGAGGCGTACACCAAAGAATTTATTAAACGAATTCAAAATGTTACTTTGCAATCAACACAACCAAAAAATAAAAAATGTTTCATTCAGTAATAAACAATTTTTTTATTTTTTTAAATATTGTGTTTTTGATTCAAAATATATTTAAAAACATTTACTTAAACAAAATATATTTGTTTAATTGTATTTTATTATATGTCTTATAACATTGTATATTCTTCAATGTTGTATAATGATTTTTAAATTATTATAACTTAAATATCACAGGATAGCACTTGATACACATTATAATTTTTATTCTGTTTATCTAATTTCTTATAAGTTAGTGAGTAAACTATAATTAAGTTAGTTTACGATTTATATAGTTAACTTACTATAAGGTGTTTTAATTACTTTTCAACACAGTAGTTCGGTTAATAGCCAATACCATTCATTATTATAATTGTAATTAATAACAAAACCAAACAAAATTTAAATTGTCACAATATGTCAAAATGTAACTCCAACTTTTTTAGTTTTTAAAAACC